CCTAGACTCAATGAGATCCCCATTGAGATTACGAATAATATAATTAATAGATTTGCCGAGGACTCCAGAAAATTAATTTTTATATAAATAAAAAAATTTTTTTATAAGTACGTAGTTTAATTTATGCTGCATAATTCACCTACGAGTGAATCCTGTTCTGCCCCCCCCTAGACAAAAGTCTGGATACGCCCATGTGTTCATACCTAAGTATATTGAAATTTCGCTTCTTTCCTCTCCTTTTTCTCGATGCCGCTTGATATAGAAGGCCGTTGATAATCCATCTTATCGCTAATAAATAATCACAACACTATCACAGAATAAACTTGGGAAAACTATCGGAGTGGATGCACGGGCCCCCTGCGGCCCCTTTAACGTGGCACCTACATCCACCGTTGGATTCGGGCTGTACGTCACCTCACGCATGCGCGCCAAGTCTCCTGTTGCAGACGAATTCTTGCAATCTCCCATCACTGACGGTCTCCGGCGCGCGCAGCGCGAACCGGCTTCTCCTCCCGCACATGCGCGTCCGCCTCGCCCCACCAATCCGCCTGTGACTGGTCCGTTCTTAAATTGGTACAACTGATTGTGAGTGGACTGGCTCGCAGGAGCGTAGCATCACGTCACGCTGCCCGCGAGGAGGAGAACGTGGGAGAACGGTTCAAGCATCGATAAAACGACAGCGTGCAGCGTCTCGAATATGAGATCGGGCTCAACGAATACGGTGGATTCGCGTCTCCGGCCCACGAGGCACGGATGGATACGTGCGTCCAGCCGCGTTGCGAGACCAAGAGCGCAATTCGGTGATCGGGGTCGAGCGTAGTAGTTGACGGCATTGGGCCCAGCATTGGGTCTCGTCGAGGGGCCGAAACATGGCGAGTCTCGATGACTAGACGTGTACGGTGGTGCTGCGTGTACGCGTGTGATCCTGTCGCGGAGTCATTGTCTCTGCCCGGCGATGTGCCGCGGAGGATCGAGCGAGTGCCGCCTGGTATCGCATATCTGCCGTCGCGACGTCCGTTAGACCGACGTTGCCGTCGAGAACCTTCGATCGCGCTTAACCTTCGAGCCCAAGTTTCAAAATTGACGAAACTTTCGTACGTGCTCTCGGAGAGAAACTTGAAGGTGAGGAGAACATGAGAACGTTAATTGCGAAAAAGGTCTCCTTCATTTCCTCCGAGGGAATTGAGATTGTTCGAGCGCCTCTGTAGTTTTCACGAGCACTGCCTTTCGTCTGCGCCGAAGGTAAGCTCTAAGCCAGGGAAATATGATTAGACGGAACGCACGAGTTGCTGCGAAATGACGTAATTTATTCACTGTGATAATAAAGATGTGTAATGTTAAATATATTTTCAATGCGCTTTTGATGTAATGAGCAAAATATTTTATATAGTAGCAATGTATAATTTATTCGCACAGAAAGGATCATCTGTGCGTCGGAGACAAAATTATTTATTCAATATAAAAATACGGTATTCGCACAGTGAATCAACCGATATGATGCAAAGTGATCATTTTTATCTCGGATATACAAATATAAATGATTGTTTTGTGCGGAAGAAAATTATATATTGCCATCGTATTCGATTGGTATTGTATTTTACTTGGTTTATATGTACAATCGTTATCGTCTGTTAATGTGATATACTTGATACAAATATTTCAGAAATAAACTTTAGGTGTTGGGCAACTGATCATGAATCAGCATGTATAGCTTTGAGGGAGACTACAGGCGTAAGCCGCAGCAGAATCTGTCAGGTGCCAGCAGGCGGGACGAGAGAGCCGTTCTCCTGCAGCACGCGCAGTTAGAAAGGCTGAAAAGAGAACAGCAGCGCAAGAAACACGATGCAGCGTTGAAGATACAGGCGCAGATACGCAGCTTCGTTACGAGGAGGCTGGTATATGCGCAGAAGAGAAGAGAGTTTGATGAGGCGCAGCAGGCAGCCGGACGCAGGAATCTGAGCCTGGAGGAACTAGTGCCGTATCTACGAAAGTTGTTATTCTTTTACGACCACACCTTGGACGCTAACAGATTGATATGGGTCCTTCAACACTTCTTGAAACACCAGAGAGAGATCAAATTGAAGTCGGTTAGTTCGCCGCAGTGGCTGTGGAGGCTGCGGTAAGCTATTAAGACGTTTATTTCAACAATGTCCGTTTTAAACACGTGTGAAAACCACAGATTTATGAAACAAAGGGTGTTTCGGCCGTTACGCAATATCATTTCTCGTGTTTGCCGTATTTTAAGTAATACATGGGGCGCATTACAGGTGGATTCTTTGCATGTGTATGCGATACAACACGGAGACGCTGCCGGACGGAGCATACTCCTTAGCGATCCCACTGCGGATCCTGGAGGTCTTTACAACGCGAGAGGATACAGAGAGGGTGCTACGCGAGCACAGTTATAGGCATCTAGAGAGTATATTTATCTACCTGATTCAACACAACTACTTCGAACAGCTGAGAAAGCTGCTGGACGAGAAGGTGCCGCCGATGGCGGAAGTGTCGTCGGTCGCACCTACGCCGATCTCCAAGTGTTTACTGGACATGATTAAACGACCCGTAGACTTGATTTCTTACGTGAATCACAAGGAGAGTTTCTCTACGCTGGTGCTGCGGGAATTGTGTGGAAGTATATTCTCTCCTAGACTGTCGGATCCGATTCGTATGTTTGTTGTGCCAGCACTGGCTGAATTCAAAGACTTTCCATATATCCAGTTAATCGCCTGTATCAATCGACTCCAGTTGGAACCAACGATAAACCTGCTCTACTGTGTACTGTCACTAGATTCGTCCAATCAGTTGTGTAAGTATATATAAAAGCTTTGTTAATACTATTAGTTTTAATCGTAAAGCAAAAGAGTAGATACGATATTCGTTTAGCCTTCACCGATAATAATTAAGCATTCAAAACATTTCTATACATATAATAATATAATTTTTTGTTTTCTCTCGGGGATTACAAGGCGTTTTTTTTTGAAGGGACGTACCCAAACCTCATAAATAATCTCATATTTATGCGCTCGCACTCGATCGCTCGCTCTCCACTCTCGCAACACTCCTTCCCTCTGTTCCTCCACTGTTGCTTCC